CCTGCTGAATATAGGGTAATTTTGCCCGCTATAGAATGATCTTGCTGAACATAGGGCCTTCTTGCAAAGTACAGAGCGATTTTGCCGAATATAGGGCAACTTTGCCGAATACAGGGCAACTTTGCCACATACAGGATGGTCTTGCCTAATACAGAGCAATCTTGCTGAATATAGGGTGATCTAGCTGAATATAGGGCCGTCTCGCCAAATATTGAGCGATCTTGTTGAATACAGGGCACTCTTGCCGAATATAGAATCATAGAATCATAGAATCATAGAATCGTTCAGGTTGGAAAAGACCTTTAAGATCACCGAGTCCAACCGTCAACCCAGCACTGCCAAGACCCAGCACTCCAAGTCCACCACTAAACCGTGTCCCTGAGCACCACGTCTACACGTCTTTTAAATACCTCCAGGGATGGGGACTCCACCACTGCCCTGGGCAGCCTGTTCCAAAGCCTGACAAATAATATATAGTGATTTTGCCAAATAATGAGCAAGCTTGCCCAATGTAGAGCCCTTTTGCCCAATATAGAGCCATTTTGCTGAACATAGAGCAACCCCAAAGCCACCGCCACAGGGCAATGAAGATCCCTCCAAGGGCCATCCCATCTCCACCTTCTGCTTGCTTGCTTGCCTGCACACCTCGCCCTTGTGCACCCACCGGCCTGCCCTCCCTCCACCGCCTTCCCTGGCCCCCCCACCATGTTGCCTGTCCTGCATGGCACTTCCACACCAACGCCTAACACCTCACGTGCCCTAACACGACCATTTAACCTCTGCTTCCCCTCTGCTGCTGGCTACGAGAATGCTCCTGAGGGAGACTGGACAAGATTGCAACAACAGGGTGGTGGGTGGGGAGGGAACTGCAATTTTTTGGCAACTTCCATGACGTGGAAGATGAAGCCAACAACGCCGTAAGGCAGTAGCCAGGCTTGGAAATTTTTTTTGAGCGTAATCCCAAGCACGGGGACAGGATCTGCCCCATAAATACAGGGTTACATTGAGCAAAGCTCACCTTTCGGGAAGGGGAAGATGCAACTTTCTGCCTCCCCGTGGGGATGCGATGATGAGAGTGAGGAAGGGCTGTTGGTTCCTCTTCAAAGGGGGACCCTGACGGCCACCCGCGTTCTGTCTCTTCCAGCCGCGTCTCCAACCTCGTGCGGATGGAAGTGGAAGCCCCCGTCTACCCTATGCAGTAGGCGAAACCACGAGGGGACTGATGCGAGAGGACAGTTTCCACATGCACGCCAGTTCATGCACTTCTTGTAAATACTCCTGCAGAGGCTTTCATGCCTCTAGAGGCACCAACCGGCGTCTCAGGTTGAGTTTCTGCAAGCGCAGAAGGAAAACCAGCACTGAGCTATGATGGATGTCTACAGCAGCAGGTCGCACGGCCTCAAATACCTGCAAAAAAAGGGCAAACGCTTGATCTGGCCTCAAATCGGTGAGAAAAAAGGTGTATTTTGAAAACCTGATCTGCTCCAGGTAGAGCCCAAAGCCGAGATGATCCGTCTGCACCGGAGTGGCCTGAAGGAAAGCGAGATAAACACCTCAAGCCAAAATAAACGTAAAATTGAGATCAACAGACCCAAATCCCAGCCATTTTTCCCCAGGAAGGCACTATTCCCATTGACTGTTTTCAGTATAACGCTGCCTGCTGTTGGGTAAATCAATAAACACTTTGTAAAAAGTTTTTTCTTGTGGGTTTGTGGGGAGTTTTTTTGCTTTGTAAATTCTGGGGTTGGGGGGGGGGAATGGGAATTTTCTTCTCTGTTTCCACTGTTGGTGGGGAACACCCCAACATTTTTCCTGTGGGGAAACACCTCAATGTGGTTTCCCACAGTGAAAATATCCACGTATTTCCCATGATGAAACAACCCAATGTGTCTCCCACGGTCAAACAACTCACCCAGCATGTCTCCCATGGGGAAACAACCCACCCAACACGTCTCCCATGGTGACAAAACCCACCCAACATGTCTCCCATGGTGACAAAACCCACCCAACGTGTCTTCCCATGGTCAAACAACCCACCCAACACGTCTCCCATGGTGAAACAACCCAACACGTCTCCCATGTTGAAAGACCCCAACTTATCTTCCATGGTCAAACAACTCACCCAATACGTCTCCCATGGTCAAACAACCTAACGTTGTCTTCCCACGGTCAAACAACCCACCCAACACATCTCCCACGGTGAAACAACCCACCCAACGCATCTGCCACAGTGAAACACCGCAATTTTCCATGGGGAAACACCCCAACGTATTTCCCGTGGTGAAACACCCCAAATTATTTCCAACTTCAGGGTACGGCTGAATTAGTGTGGGAGCTAGGCCTTATTGGAGGCAGCAGAAACACAACTTCAGCTCTTGTGTTACTTCACACGGGGAGACAGCAACAGGCTGAGTAATTAAAAACAAATAAAGAATAATGAACAACTTGGGGAGAAAGAAAATTGGCTGCTCGATAAGTAAATTCTTGGGCTCGTTGAAGCCAGAAACTCGCCGGAGTTGACAGCAGCCACGTGCACACGTCCCTGTGCATCCACTGTCCCTCTCTCTGGGAGGTTTTTTAATATAATATTTCAATATCCCCACTTTGAAACATTAAAAAAAGAAAAAACCCCAACTTTTTCCTGCGAAGGACATGCAAGGTCACCCTATTCCCACCAAAAACTTTCCTTCCATC